CTGAGCCATTGGCTGACATTGTAGNCTATCAGCCCGTGGACTACAGGATCTTTTCATATATATATATATATATATATATATATATATATATATATTTTTAAATCTTTTTATCTCTAAACCCAAACCACTGGGACTGGTCCTGGTTGAAATGACTTGGACCTCACTCGGGTCCATGTTATTGCCTACTTGGGTTGACCCGGACTTGACTCGACCTGTTGCCACCCCTGCTGGATAACCCAAATGTCTTCAACTTACAATGGGAATGGCTAAATGATCTGAATCCCAAGGTTTATTTAATAGCTTACCATTGAGCTTGCAGACTAGGTTTTTCTACATAGAAAAACAGGCACTAAAATTTCAGAGTAGAGAAAAGAAAAAGCAAAATGGAAAAACTGGAGTTACAGCTTCATGTTCAAGGGGTTTTCTTACAAGATGAAGATCCAAAAATGCCTTCAATCTCTGACCTCATCCATATCAAATTGACAAAAGTTAGAAAGATGCATTAATGTTCTTAAGGAAGGGAAAAAAAACCATTAGTACCCATTGATTCAAGCCCAATAAAGGCCGAACTCAGGCAATTAAGAATCGTTTTTACTTCACAAATTGAGATGCAACAGAAAAAAAAAACTACGAAGAACATAGAGAAACCAAACCAAGAAGCAAGGCTCCAGCCCCTATTCTTCTACCAAATAATACAATTGATAACCGTAGCATGCCATTAGAGCTCTGGAGGAAATAAGACCAGTGCTACCTATTCCATCTACATAATCTAGTGTTTTCTTCGACCTAATGATCAGTAGCAGTAAATGAGTAGGATTATGGTGCAGCTGTTTGCAATTGTGGCTCTGAAGGCCTGCGGAGAACTTCATGGATTCGTGCACCAGAGAGAAGGGAATTGGTCAATCTGAGAAACCCCTCCATTCCAAGAGCTCTCTATTTCACTATGTTATCCCTGACTTTTTATGCACAGGTGGTGGCAATACCACCGCAGTCGAACTGGTGGTGAGTCGATACAGAGCTACTATAAATTCCAGGAGCTGCATTTGGGCTTCAGATGCTGTCTAAGAGGGAAGACAGGGTCCCATGCCACCAGCTTTCGGTTCAATATCATGTGTAACAAGGCCATGGACTAGGACACGATGCTGGTTCTGGTAAAGCGGGGGAGAGTTTAGATGCAGTTACAGCATTGAAAAAGATGGTTAGCTTCTGGGAGTAACCTCAGGCCCCTGCTCATTGCAGAGTGTGGCAGTTCTGAAGCCCTGGCCATGTTTATGTTTGCTTCTATCCAGGACTCATGGGCTCGATGGATCAATTTTTTTAAAGCCATTGTAGGATAGTTTTGTTGTTGGAGAAAGGCTTTGCACCTCAATTAGTTTTTTTTTCTGGGAGTTAGTTTACGTTGCAAACTAAACAAGGCCAAAAAAAAAGGTCAAAAAATTTAGAACTACTTAGATTACGTGTGGCGAAATTAGGAATAGAAATGATATAAGCAATCATGTATATAATCCTTTAAATTTGCAATGGAGAATGGCTGCCTAATCAATATCTACTTGTCTCGACCCTAACAAATAACTTGATCGTGACTGTTACCAGTGATAGAAAATCGCCTTTTACATGCACGTCTTTTATCATAAATGATAGGAGAATATTTGCTTGCCACCATGCTTGTAGATGTAACCCTACGGGGTGAACCACATACAATTTGGTGTTTTAGTTTGTTCTTCTTTTCCTCTTGTGATTTCGCTGTTCTATTGTTATTTATTTTTCTCTTTATTTTGTTGCACCTAATTGCTTGGGTTTGTTATGGGATTATCAGTTTCACATACGTCAAGTTTAAGTTGTGATATTCAGTGATCGGTTAATCTATGGTTTTGGGTATTAAAAATTCTGAAAAGTAGTATTTGAGCATTATATTTTATGCAATATATTTGGAAGAGTGGCGAGTAATCGATTTGAGGTAGAAAAATTTGATGGGAAAATATATTTGGAAGAGTAGCGAGTAATCGATTTGAGGTAGAGAAATTTGATGAGAAAAATTATTTTCAAATATACAAAATTCAGGTTCATGATATTTTGTTCCAATAAAGACAACACAAAGCATTATTTGGAAAGGAAAAGAAGCTTGAATCCATAAGTAATGAGGATTGGGAGGAAATGGACCTTAAGACAAGGGCTATAATCCCATTGTGTTTAGCAAATTGGCTTTTATTCAATATTATGGGAGAAAAGACAACAAACGGTTTGTGGGAGAAGTTCGCAAGTGTTTATCAAAACGATTATCTTACAAATCATATTCTATTAAAGAGAAATTTATTTATTTTAAAGATGAAAGAGGAGACAAAATTTTCCACCATTTGAATACTTTTCACGACATTATTTGTGAACTTGAAAGTGTTGGTGAAAAAAATGAAAGACAAGGACTAGATAGGAATGTTGTTATATACTTTACCAAAACGCAATGATAATTTAGTGAAAACATTAAGTAACACCTAAAAAGATTCACTTGACTTTAGTGAGATGAATAATACTTTGCTTGTCCATGAACTCTGGAAAAAATATCTACCAGAGAATCGGAATCGGAGGTTCACATATCAAAAGGACGCCCAAGTGAATGAGGTAAGTCTTCTAAAAAATCTTCAAGAAGGAAGTCTAAAGATCAGTAAGAGTCTAAAAGAAGGGAAAAACAAGTTTGTTTATTGGGAATGTGGTGAAGCCAGTTATTTAAAGGGAAATTGTACTACAAGGAAAAGGATAAAAATAGAAAAAAAGAAGAAAAACTAATGAGTCCAAGAATGAGGGAAACCAAATAGATGAATTTATGTCCCGTTTCAGAAGTTTATACCATAAGTTGCAATCATGAATTCCATTAAAATTAGATGTTGTATACCGGTGTGATGCATCGTATGTGCCCACATAAATCATTGTTTAGGTTATATGAACCATGTGATGGTGGTTATGTGTTAATGAGAAATAATTCAAGTAGTAGAATGGTTGGGATTGGCTCGGTGAAATTAATAATGTATAATGGAAGTATTTGCACATTTCAATTTATGTTTCCTCGTTGGATTCCAATAGCTATAAACTTACTGCGCAAGGTAGAGTTCTCAAAGTATCAAATGATGCTCTTGTTGTGATTAAGGGTGTTAGAGTTGAGAACTTGTATAAATTATTGAAAAGTTTTATTATTGATGATGGGGTAAATTTGGTACCATATAGTAAGGTTCTTCTACTACGCTTATGACATAGGAGGCTAGGCCATTTGATAAGGAGATTTTGATGAAGAATAGTGTAATTCCTACTTACCCAAAAAAAAGAAAAAAAATGTAATTCCTGCCATAAAATTTGAGGAATCAAATTTTTTTTAGTATTGTCTATAAAAAATAATATATAGATGAAGTTTCAAGGCCAGAAGCCATACAAGAAACTGATACTTGACTACATGTACTCAGATTTATGAGAGTCCTCACCCACTATGTCATATGGTAATGCATTGTATTTTATTTCTTTTGTTGATGACTTTTTATGGAAGGTATAGATGTTCACTCTTAAATGAAAGAGTGACACATTGTTGGCCTTTAAGCATTTTAAGACCAAAGTCAAGAAGAGCATGGGGTGCCACATCAAAACACTCTGAACTGATAAATGGGAAGGAGTACAATTTTGATGAGTATAGTATTATTTTTTATTTATTTATAATTAATTTCAGTCATTTTTCAATGTATTTTTTAAATCTCCCCCTCTCTTATTCGCAAACCTCTTTCCCAATTTTTTTGGTAAATTTTTAGTTTTATTACCTCGCAAGCCAGTGCAACGGAGGCTAACTTCTCTTGTAGATTATAATATTTAAGTTTAAAGTCAGGCTGAAATTTCAAAGTTTTGTTTGCCTCGAAATCAGACATAAATAGGAATCTTGAACTATCAAGTGCATTTAGTTATTTGTCCCAATTAAGTAGCTCGATCTAAATTTAAAAAGAGAAAGTATCTAATGAGACCATTTATCTTTAGTACATGGTGGTAACAATTAATATTGATCATTGGATGTGAAATTGGGTGGCTGTATTTGTTTCATTGAAGTTCAAAGTTCAAATTTTTTTTTTTCACATCGGATGTTTGTAAATAATTGTGACCTCCCTGTACTAAAAGTAAATAGTCTCATTGTATACAATCCCATTAAAAAATACTCCTAGTTGCTCAAGTTTGAAAAATTACAAGGGCAAAATGAGTATCATATATCATTTGATGATTTCACCCATGGAGGGTAATCTGAAAAAAAAAATTAACATTTTTTGAGAAGGGATTTTATAAAACTGAAATGTAAAAATTGAATTGTCTGAGATAATAAGTAGTTGTATGGCCACCCTTTTAATTATAGCGAAAAGGGCGCCCACCCCTACCAAATTATCATCCATGTAGACCTTAGGTCCATGGAAAACCCGTGGGCCACTTTTAAGACATGACATCTTTCTTATTCCCCTCCAAATGACTTTTTTAACTTAGGTGTTGTTTCTATAAGTCCATGTAGAAATGAGTCCTCTCTTAAAAATATATTTTTTGAGATGGATTTTCTGACCTGATTTTTAATACATAATTTCTAATATGGTAATTATGAATATAAAAAAATAAATATATTTTAAAAATTAAAATAATAATTTTATGAAAAAATATTTGGACCATTAAATTTAACTGTTTTTTTATGAACCACCCATTTACGATGGATGCTTTACACCTTGTGAGACGCAAAATGTTGAAATGCATCCCCCCCCCCCCGACGCATGAAAGAAGTGTCCCTAAACTCACGTCTTTTAACTAAGCCAAAAGATTTTTTCTCCCGTGGGAGTATACTATCCTCTTACTCCCTTGGGAAGCGATCTAGGAATATTTTTAGGACTTTAAAGTTTGTCGATATAACTACTTCAACTTGTAGACTAATCTCAAAAAAAAAAAAAAAAAAAAAAAAAAATTCCAATTTTCATTAGGCATGGGGTTTAAAAAAAAAAATGTTTGAAGATTGAATAGAGATCCTCCAACTTCTGGAGGGCGAGATCAAATCCGTACTTTTTTAATTTTAAAATAACCATCTATCGAGTATTGGGTGGTTCCTAAAAATTTAGAAGGAAAAACAGTCTCGAGTAGGTAATCTATCCGACGGAGTAAATGTACTTAATGCATAGAGCCTAGAATGAGAGAGAAGATAAGGATAGAGATATCGATATTCACGGTTATTGGGTTAGAGCTTCTCTTTACTCTTGTGGTAGTTAACTAGAAAAATTAGGGTTAGAAAAGGTTTCTTCTAGGTGAAGAAAATAGAGGGGAAAAAAGTAGGACTTTTAGAAAAGGGGTGTGGTTTGCATAAGTTTACAACTTTAAACTATCCAATTAAAGCTCTTTTTTTAATTTTGTTATAAATGTAATTTTGATATCACAAATTTTTATGACGACTTGAGAATCTATTTTCATCTCTAATTACAATATTTTAAACTCTAAAAATAGTTCAAATCAAGTAGATCTATAAATACATAAAAATCTTGAAAATAGATTGTCTAGATAATGTGTTGCAAAATACACTATTTTGTAGACTCAATTTTTCTTCTTTTCATTTTCATACATCTCAAAGTCGAAACGATAAATTTGAGGGTTTTCCAATTTTGGATGTGCACCTTTAATTCTACTTTTAAGGTTGCCTTATATAAACTTTTTCCTTTAAAAAATGTCTATGAGTTAGTTTAGTGTTTAAGATATTTACGTGCTTTCCAACATAAGCTTTCAGCAGTGCAAACAATACCTCATTCACCTTTAAGGGTGACTGGAGGAGTCTCTTCTGTATCTGTTTTCTAGGTGTTAGGAAAAGTTAGTAAAGCTGCAATTCTCTCCTTTTGTCTGCATAGTTATGGCTTCCACAATCCCTAGGGTTTCTTTCAATCTCAGGGTTAATGACGGTAAGCGATGCCGCATTCGAGTCGAAGAAGAGGAGATCCATCAGACCAAAATGTCTTCAGAGGAGGAACCAACACCTGCGATCCTCAGGAATTTGTTCGAACTCAGCATTGACAGTGGTAGTCATATCACCATTGAAGTTGCAGACAAAGAGAGCCATCCAACCAAAACAAAAAAGCAAGACCAAAGCAAAGAAGCACGGTCTCCAATTCAGAAAGAAAAATTAGAGCATACCATTGTTAACAAAGCAGAAGTGCCTTTTGATTGTAGGGGCCCTAGGGTTTTCTTTGACATCACGATCGGTGGCGTCAAAGCAGGCCTGATCGTAATGGAGCTCTACTCCGACGTGGTTCCAATGACCGTAGAGAATTTCAGGGCCCTGTGCACCGGAGAAAAGGGTAAAGCCCCTAATGGGAAGTCCCTCCATTACAAGGGCTCCTCGTTCCATACAGTCATTCCAGGCCGGTTCTGCGTTGGTGGTGATTGCACTGGTGGTGAATCAATCTATGGTGGAAAGTTTATTGACGAAAATTTCAAGGAGAGGCACAAAGGCTTTGGGGTCCTATTCATGTCTAACGGAGGGGAGCGTGATAACAATTGCTCCAAGTTCGCTATAAGCACGAACAGGGATACCGGATTGGATGGAAAGTATGTTGTGTTTGGTAGGGTGGTGGAAGGGCTGGATGTGGTTCGGGCCATCGAGAATGTCGGCTCGCCTTATGGCGAGGTCCTCAAGCCCGTTCTCATCGCAGACTGCGGCCAGATTTGAAGACGTAACCGGCCGTCAAGCGGTTGAATTGGAACCCCACTGCAGTTCGACCACCTTAACAACCGAGCCAAGAGCTCCCCTCTCTGCTATTAGGATTTGTGGCTTCTGTTTTTCTCCTAGCGTATATTGCAGTAAACATTAGAGCTGCAAAGGTTGTGTGGTTTTTCTTTCTTTCTCGATGTAGATTTTGAATAATTAGAAAGTATTGCAACTCTCTTTGTATTGGAATGTAAATTTAAAAATATTGCAAATATTTTGTTTTCGGGGGGTTTTATGGATTCCAGGGTTTAGCCATTATGGCCTCTGGTTTCAATTGATGTCATGAAATGTGTGCATTTTGTCCATGCGTAGATAACAAGATATGTGTTATGTCTATTCGTGCATAAAGAAATTTGTGTCATCAAGAAGATGCTTTTTTTTTTAATTATTATTATTAAGAAATAAAGACACCACTGACTATGTTTTTTAGATTTTTGGATAATAAAAGAAAAAAATTTAAAAATAAAAATAAACCCTCAAAAGAGACACAAGAGAGAAACATAGCCTTTTTTTTTGTTTTTTTTTTTAATATTGCTTTATATAAGCACGACGTCGAGCCTTTGGATGTAAATGGGGCACTAGTAGCAAATCCTCAATTTGGATGCTTTTTTTTTAGTTTGTTCTGGGTTGCTTTTTTTTTCTAGAGTTCAAATAGAGTTTGGGGGTAATGTTTTGTTTGGGGATTGATGTGTTTGGTTCAATATTTTGGAAATTGGCTCTGCCCTAAGCTGAGGTTTCTCGAACTAGTTATCTTAAAAACAATTTAAAATTTAAAATTTTAAAAATGGCATGATAAGATAAACTTTTTTTTTAGAATTAGTTGGATTACGCATGGTGCACCTGGAATAAAATACGCGATCAGGTATATGATCGTTTAAATTTGCAAGGTATACATAGAAGCAATGCAATGAGCATTCACGGAACTAATTACAAAAATATACAATGCGAGAATACATTGATATGCAGCAAGCAGTCATGCAAAAGAGGAATATATTTTGAATTATGCATGTGCCTATTGAAATAAATATAATAATAATGAGGGGCACGTAACATATAATAGGAAAATTTAGGTATATATCAATCTTTATTCTATTATGATAAAGAAATATGCAAAAAATGAAGACACAATATGTATAAATTTTTGTTCATTAAAAATATAACAGAATAGTAAGAAATTAAGAGAATATTCAAAGGGAATAGAACTTTCATGAATCAATTAATAAAGTAGTTATTGACATATAAATATACTCCAATGAAAGATTAAGAATGTTCAAACAAAGAAAATGCAATGATGAATCATATGCAATTTCATTTGGAGCTTTAAGCTTTCTTTTACCTTTGGTTGTTTTGGAATATCATATGTGTAATCACATATTTTTCTACTATTATATTGCGTATAATTTTTAGCGAGACTTGCAATTTGAAAAATTCACCTTGTGTTCAATCTCTTTTGTATGGCTTGTTGAACAAGATCTATAACGTTTGCCTGAAATTTTCATTATTTGTATGTAAAATTTAATAATAGCCAGTATATAATTATAATAAAGAAAATTTTATTTTATTCCAATAATAATATTTAATAACTAATAAATAATTATATCTAAGTTTATATTTTATCCTGCTATTATTAATTATTACAGGGTTTGTGTAGCTGGGTCTAAATAGTTGGGATAAGGCTCGGATAATGATCATGATTAATATTTTTTAGTACTATATAATTATCTAATATCCATCAATAAAATTATAATAAATAATACTGTAATGATTAATAATTAAATGAGAAATTAGTATTATTAAATTATAATGAAGTGTAATTTATCCATGTTAAAATTTACGAAAAATTGCATAAAACCACTAAAAATGGTTTTTCTAAGCAATTTACCCACCCAAACTTTTTCAAACAACTTTTCCCCCAAAACCATGTTTCATAGCAAATACCCCCAACTCAAAAAAGAAAAAATGAGACTAAAATACCCCTCCCTTACCTCACACGTTGACCATAGCGGTCCGGCACTTCACCATGGCGGTCTAGCGTTTAGAAGAGGCGGTCCAACGCTTAAGTCACTGATTTGGAACGGTCCGGCACATCACCATGACGTTCCAGCCAAATTGAAAATTGTGTTTGGAATAGACGGCCTGGCAATGTACAGTTCCGGTTCGGCAAAATGGATGGGTCTGGCAATATAAAACTGCGGTCTGGCGTTTTCTTTTATTCGGATCTGAGAATGATTTGTTATGTACGAAAAAGGTATTTTTGTCAAAAACAATGAACTTTTTGTATTAGGGGTATTTGTTATAAAACTTGATTTTTGGGAAAAATATGTTAAGAAAAATTTGGGTAAGATAAAATGCTTAGAAAGTCTATTTTTGGGAGTTTTATGCAATTTGTCCAAAAATTTTTTATTATTCTAGACAACTAAATTAATCTCTCGTAATTTTTAAGAGAGAGTAAAACCACAGTGAGCATCGTTATTGACATGGCATATTCTTTTGGGGAAATTTATCGACAATTATATTACATAATTGAAATATGATATTTTAACCATTAACTAAAGTCATGTAGTTAAGTGCGATAACAATGATGGTCACTCATTTTATGTGATGATTATGATGCCGTCGAGATTATCGCGCTTAACTATCTGGAGCGGTCGCATCATGATTGGGTTGACAAAGAAATAAACTCTTTTAGTGAGTCCATTAATTTGGTTTTTAGAAAGTGCGATTTTTTAATGAATGGATAAGTCTGTTTTTATGTGCGGAAGACTTGTATTTGCTTTTTTGGAATCTTGGGCTTTTGAATAAGTGGAAATGTGAATAAAATTTGATGGTGCTTTACAGTACGTGAAAAGCTAAAGAGAGAGAAATAATATCTTATTTGTGAGTTTTTTTTTTTCTTTCCTCTTGTGCTTGTGGGCCAGTGCCAGGCTCTTCGGATCCATACTTTTGTTCGTTTTTTTTGTGATTCCACTTTTGTTTTTTATTTATCTTCCTAAAACACGGTTATTTTAATCAATGTTATTTGCCAATAAATTTTATAGTGCGTCATATTATTACCGTGTACTTTTTCTTGCTCATTACTCTTAATTGAAGACTATAAACGCCTCGGTCATAAACCCCAAAAGCACCATATTTAATGCAATCACGATATTATGCAAAAACCAATGCAAGTTCAAGTGAATTAATGGTCAAAGATTTGGGGTGAGTTTCTACTATTGATGAGTTGACGAATAAGCTGCAAATACAAAGAGAAATGACCAATTAGGAACTCTATATCCTACAAATAGAAGTTTAAAGAAACGTACCTGATTGCAACGAGATTAAAGTGAGGTACGTCGCACGTGTAAATAAAGATAAACTACCCCCGAATATAAAATATATATTTTTATTAACAAAATATACACCTTGACATATGCTTTGCAAGTAATCCTATTGTCTAATGCCATACTTAGTCCAAAGATTGAAGTATTTGATTTTTGAGAGAGTAAAATGGCACCTATGTGAAGGTCAAGCCAAGGTGTTTAAATACTTCTAGCTCATGTTGGTGCTCTCCATTGAAATTCAAAACCAAATAGTCACCCATACTTTGTACGTGGTGTCTTCCTGTTTTATTTAGGTAACTTATTCCAAGGATTGAAGTATCTAATTCTAAGATAGAGTTAAAAAATGGTGCTTTTGTTGTGTTCAAGGGTGTTAAAGTTCAAAACTTTTATAAATTATTAAGAAGCTACATTATTGTTGATGTTATAAATTTGGTAGTGGAGAATAATGATCTTCCATTATGCTTATGATGTTGGACGTTGAGTTGTTTAAGGAAAAGCGTATGGAGATTTTGGTGATGCGGATTCTAGTTCTCAGGTCCAAATTTAATGAGTATTATGTCAATGGAAAACAACATAAATAAACTTTCAAAGTTGGAAGCTATACATGTATATGAATACTTGATTACATGCAGTCAGATTTATGGGTACCCTTACCATCTATGCCATATGGCAGTGCATTCTATTTTATTTCTTTTGTTGGTGACCTCTTAAAGAAGGTATAGTTGTTGGCTATTAAATCAAAACGTGATGCATTGTTTTTGCCTTTAAGCATTTTACGTCAAAGTCGAGAAAAGTACGGAGAGTCACATTAAGACACCCTGCGCCGATATTAGGAATGATACATTCTGATGAGTACAATTCCATTTTGTTATCTGTTTTTTAATTCATTTTTTCAAAAAGTATTTTTTAAGTCTCTCTCCCTCTTTCTTTTGCAAACCTTTTTCCTTATTTTTTAAGGCAAAATTTCAATTTTGTTGCCTCGCAAGCCGGTGCAGCTGATAATCCATAAGAAACGTTAGCCTTACGGCTAGCTTCTCTTGTATATTATAATTTGACGGTACCTATGAGTGACTTCATTGAAGTTCAAGGCCAGGCCCAATGGTTGAAGTGTTCTTCACCTCAAAAACGGACATAAACATGAATCTTGAACTATCAAGGGCATTTAGTCATTGGGCCAACTTAAATAGCTCAATTTAAATTATAAAAAGACCCCTAGTTGCTAAAAAGTTATAAAATTATAGCAAGAAAATGTGTATTGTCTGTCATCTGACAATTTCATATTCCCCAACCAATTGGGTGTAATTTGAAAATAAATTAACACAAAATTTAATATTTTTGGAGAACGCATTTTTATAAAAATGAAATGTAAAAAGTGAACCATTGAAGACGATAAGAAGATATGCGGTGACATCTTTAGTTATATGGAAAGGGTGCGATTTGTATAGAGCCTAGGCTCTAAACAATCAAGTTAGAGCTTACCTTCAAACAGTATCGAGAAATGTGGTTTCAATACCGGAAATCTTTGTAATAGCCTTAAAATATATTTTCATCTTTAGTTATAACATTTAAAGCTTAAAAAGTAGTGTAAATCGACATATCTATAAAAATTTGAAATTCTTGAAAATTGACCGTCCAAAAATAAGTGACAAAATACACTATTTCCAAAACTTGAAATCCATTTTTTTTCTCATATATATGCATTTTGCTGTCGAGATGATCAATTTGAAGATAGTTGAGCATCAAAAGAACCTCTTCTAGTGAAATTTTTTAAGTACGCTCTCCATTTGGTTGTTTAGAGCCTTGGCTCTCTATAAACTTTATGATATGGAAAAGGACGCCCTACCATGTTATCATCCCAATACACCTTAGGCCCATTGAAAACCCGTGCGCCACTTTCGAGACATGGACATTGTTTCCCCCTCCTTTCTTTTTATT